GGTTTGTTTTGCATAGTTTTATAATTTGTTTTATTGTTTAATTTTATTTAATATGGACATCACAGTAGCAACTGAATCATAACACACATTTATGCACAAGCACCAAATGCGAAATGCTCATCTACAACGTTCAATATACGTGTATAGTAGTGTTTCATGTGTAAGGACCTGTGAAAATGTTAGACAGGGAATTGCATATTTTGTTACTGTATTATGTACTGACTACATTTCCCAGAATGCCAGGGCAAGAGTTGCCGCGTTTCTGATATATAATAGTGGCCAATCATTTTCATCCATGTTGATGGGTTGCTAATGAGATGTACAGGGACCAATAAAAAAAGGAGTGTCTAAGGATTGCGTGGCTAAGAGAGAGCGGGAGAACACGGTGAGAGGAGTCGGAGCAGGATTTGTTTTTTTTATTTCCCCCATCGGGAAAAAAAGTGTCGCCCAGTTTTTTTTGCTGTTTTGTCCCGCTGCCGGACGGTAGACTTAACTGCAGCGGAGAGTGACTGGGGTGCCGGAGACCAGAAGGTATACGGCTGCAAGGGTGTCTGCAACACGACGCCGTGTGGACTTGCACCGCGCCGAAGGAAGCCTCGCTCGGCGGAACTTGCACTGCGCCGAAGGAAGCCCCGCTCGGCGGAACTCGCCTGCGCATACTGCTCGGCATTGAGTTTTTTTTTTCTTTTGATCCCGAACAAAGTTGCGGGATAAAAGTGCACCAACAACTGGGCCCCAACGCACCACGCTGTGCAACAGGTTTTTTTTCTTTTGCTTATACTTTAATTGCATTTATTTTTTTTAATTGCATTTAATCTTTTGCTTATACTTTAATTGGAGTCAAATGTAGATTTACAGTTTAAGGGTACACTGCTCTTTGTTTTTTTCTCTTTACTTTAGTGCTCATACTGGAGCTGTTGTTTTTCCTTGCTGAATAGGGCTCAATAAATGGCCCGGTTATGTTTAAGTATTGTTTAATGTGTTTTATTGAGGATGTGGTAGTTTTTTTATATTCTGGGGGAATATGTTACGTGCTGAATAGCTTCATTTCAGTTTAATATTTCCACAGTGGAGGCACCGCGCTGCTATTTCTGTTATTTATATTTTAAATTTTGGTTTAAGGGAACAAATCTCGTCGTACAACACCTAGTGGGTAAACAGGGAATCACAGCCACTTCTATTGAACTTGGAACCAAGGATCTTGTTAACTTTGTTAGCTTCTTGTAGTCGCGTGTACACCCTTTGGTGGCTGAAAGGGGGGTTACACATGTTTTTACATTAATGTTTTATAAAAAAAAAACTATGTAAAATGATATTCCTGAACTTGTATGGTCGAAAGAAAAACGAGAGGGAATTTTAAACGATGAAACATCAATAATATCTTGCTCGAAATTGTTAGAATAATTTACGTTGCCTTCCATTGTAAGTGCCTTCATTATTGTAAACTGTATAAACTGGACCCACGTCGTCTTGTCTCACGTACTGTATACATGTTTATAGCTGAGAATACAGTTTACTTTGACTTCGATGTGCCAGCAGCAAAACTTTCCGATCTAGGTGGAATATGTACCACATGGGACTGCTGTTGATAAAATTCGCCGATCGGGGGGAGGAGGGTATTTTAAACCACATTTTAACCAAAATTGTTATATAAATGGATTATGGTGGACATTTGATATGTGTTTTCTTACTGAAAAAGAAAGCCCCCCATTTTCTGAAAAGTACCAGTTTTGGACATTTGACGCTTCCGTCCGACAGCCGGTATGTATACATACCGGCTTATGTAAGAAAATACAGCAATATTTTCCTTTACACATAAATAATATAAACAATTAACACGTACTTTGATACTGTGTGATAAACTGACAATTTTAGTGAACATACCTGAATGTCAGCACAGGCGATACATATCTCTTCAGCTCTTCCTAGAAAATTCATAGCGATACCGTTAGCTCGTTCTGACAGGAATTTTAAATGTTGATTTAATCGGTTTAATACCAATGACACTAAAAAATAATGTAGGATTACGCCTAAACGTGTTTCAACCCATTGTATTTTATCACTTTATACACGTTAATATGATACTTAGTGTCACTATCGGGCAAGAACGGGAACGGAGATCCAGGAATGCAGGGAACGAGAGCCTTTATTAAGGATCAAGACGAGTAGACACAGGCAGGTAGCAACACTGAGCTTGCCAGGTTCGCTGTCCTCTCCGCCGGGACGCAGATGGTAAGCGTCGGCGAGGCAGCGGTGATCTCGAAGGATACCAGCAGAGGACGTGGTACCGGAGGGGTGCACCGAAATCATAGTCCAGGTTCAGGTCCAGGGGTCTTTATCTGTTGTATCCGTCCGACGAAAGGGCACGAGACTGGGGCACACGAGGAGGGGAAGACAGGAGGCGCCGGGCTCAGCAGGATGGGTCTGCGGAGGACTACTTTATTTGTATTTTTTTTTTTATTATTATTTATTTATTTTTTTTTATTTTATTTTTTTTTATTATTATTATTATTATTATTATTTTTTTATTTGGGTCCTCAAAAGAAGGAGAGGGAGGGGGGGAGGGAACAAAGGAGAAGAAGAGAGAGAGAGGGATAGAGAGGAAAAGAAAAAAGGAGAGAAAAGGAAAAAAAAAAAACAAAACAGATAATCTGCTTCCATGTCTGCTGAAAAGAGAAAGACAACATACAACACCTGTACTAACCACAACAACCATCAAACGTTAAATGTTATTGAAC